GGGGTCTGTGTATAACACGCCCTACTGGGGGGGGGGGGGGGCTATTCATAGCCCCCCCTCCTAACTCCGAAACTACTGGGCCGATCGTCAAAATTCAAACGGCGTCTGATAGCCCCGGAAAAACTGTCGAGCGAAACCTAATTTCATTGACCTCGAGGTCACCAATGACGTCACAGGTCAGGTCAAAGTAAAAATTATTAGCACTTTGGCTTGTTCACATTTTGGGCTCTGGCCGCCGTCTTACAAGTCAGATCAGGCTCATTTTTGGTTTCCACACTCGTGAACAGATGCTCTAGATACCTTGAGGGTACCAAACTTGTACTTTGATTTTCAGGTCAGGGTCAGGTCATCACAGGTCACGAAAATATTATATCATGCGTCGGTCACGTGACACATGTTTTATGGTCCATTTAGGCCATAGATTTCGAATTTGATGTCGTCTGTGCCATTCAAGGTCATTTTGAGTCAAAATTAGCTTAGGTCAGGTCACTTTCAGGTCAAAAAGGTCAAATTTTGAAGTTGAAATTTTTCAACAAAAAAGGTGTCTATTGGATGCAGTTTGAGCTCAGGAACACGATGGTGCCATTTATATTGGTGTACGATGCCAAATACGTACCGAAAAATTGATTTGAAAAATTAATAATTGTGAATTTTTTGCAATAATGCGTATAACTTGGCCATTTTTGAAGATATTTAGCTAAAACTTGCTAGAGTTAGTCATAATCATGCGTTCTGTCACATATATTCCGGTTTTTTTCGAAAAGTCAAAAACTTTTTGAAAAAAAATATAAAAATATAAATTTTGAATATTATTATATAAAATTTTCAAAATTTTCAAAATTTTGAAAATCCGAGATAGCAGTTTGATAGCGCGGTCAATTCTGAGTCCTATCATGCAAAGAAATTGGATCTAGCTTAAAAACTGAGCTCTTGGGAGCGATTGCCGTGGTTCAATGTTTTGCGTCGAAATCGGACGAACATGACGTCACTCTGACGTCATTTCCGGCCGACCTATGGTAGCTACGAAGTTCAAATTTTGACACAAGGTGTCAAATTGATGCAGCCGAAGGTACTGAAAGTTTGGCGTCGATTCGTCAAGCGGTTTGGAAGTTATTGCAGAAAAACGGGAGGGGGGGCTATAAATAGCCCCCACCAGTGGGGCGCGGGTTAAATCAGAATGACTAAACGAGGTGACGTCACACTAACGGTCGCTCCATGTTGAAGATAGGGCCTTGCGCAAGGCCCATTTTCAAATGAAGGGAACGAATTTCTTCAACACCAAGAGGCCGCGGGGGTTGCAACCTAGATAGATAGTGGTTTCTGAACCTCGCCGCAAACTTGGCTATCTCAACTCAAACCCCATGTTAAAGGTGGGATAGTCCCTTTAACTGTGACCAGACACATTTACAAGGTCAGAGCGACTCACAGAACTGATATCGCCAAGCCCATGAGACCATAATGCCGGAGTCGACACTGGTATACCTAACCTTGGATCAGGATGCTTCCACAATCCACAGCCAATCACACTTGAAAGAACCACTTTAACCAAATCCTTGTTTACATTTAGCTAGGATATCGAAACAACTTGCAAATCCTTGTTGCCACACAGCAGTCTTTTATAAAACATAATTTTCCTATTAGCTATAACTTATAAGCATTGGACATGTAAGAATATTCAACGAGTAACAGAGAGGATGCTTTCTATGGGATTTGGGATTTAGGAACACCGACCAGTTTTTTTCAACACGAGTTGTAATCCACACACAATGCACGATAAGCCACTTTTGCACCTGATGAGTCCCAAAGTTCACAGCCATAAAGGTTTGTACAATAGGCCTTGAACAGTTTAATCTGAATCTTACTGATTACCTGCCCCACCAAAGCACGAAGCATATTGGCATCATTACAGTACAGCGACCTCTTGGTTCTCCTTACGTCACCACTGTCATTTAGGTCAGGTTCAAGCAAATGGTCGAAGTATTTAATACGTGCAGTGGAAGGGGGGGGGCGGATTTCGCCCACCCCTCCTGTTTTTCGCCAATAACTCGCGCCGCATACATAATATTAATGTGAAATTTCGGCTACCTGTCCAGAATTGAATTGCGGATCTTCCCGTGCAAGAAATAAGAAAATCGGTTCTCAACTTTTTTAGTATAAAATATAAATAGCGGTGTAAAGTCAAGCATCCTGCCGCCGCGGCGGCCGGCGCCAGCCGTTACGCGCCGCCTGAATTGTAGACTGTACCGGGGCGGGACTTCCGTCTTTACATCTCGCTCCTTACCGCTCGCGCTGATTATTATATTCGAATCGCGTTAAATTTTGTGAGAAGACTAAGAAACGTACATGCAATCTTATGGGCAAATGATTTTTAAATCAGCCGGTAAAAACTTGAGTTATGACTGAGTGTGCAAAGTGCAAACACAAAATTGTGATTGCCGCGTTTCCCGCGCTGGCCGATCCCGCTTCAGCCGGTGACATCTTACTCTGCGCTATGAGGTCTATGTAGAATTGCTAAAAATTGAGTTCAAACATTTGACGTCATCAATTTTGAAGTTTTTTTCGCTATAACTTGGCCAAAAAAAAGAGATATCGATCTCAAATTTGGTATGTGGATAGAAGGCGGTAAGGACTATCACATATGTTCCGGTTTTATGAAATGTAAAAACGTTTTGGATTTTTCGGCTATTATATTCAAAAAATCTATTTTTTAATTTTTGGGGGTCAAAATCTAAAAAACTCAATAATCTGAGATAGCAGTTTTGTAGCCCAGTCAATTCTACATCTTTTATGTCTTTATTATTTTCTGCATCTGCAAAGCTATAGGTCTGACAGCTCTTCCCGCGAAACCCTCTTTTGGGTCGAAAACGGCAGAACATGACGTCACTCTGACGTCATTTCCGGCCAACCTATCGCAGCCTTTGGAAAATTTTGGTCACAATGTGTAAAATATATGTCCGGGAGGGTATTGAAAGTTTGGTGACGATCAGCGCAGCGGTTCTGGAGATATATTGAAAAGTCTTTGGGGGGGGGGCAAAAATAGCCCCCCACCAGGGCGCGGGTTAAATTGGTGCAGGGCTACCTTCGAATTAATGCACAGCCGCGCCCCGCTGGGGGGGGGGCAGAATCTGCCCCCCCTCCCGTTTTTCGCCAATAACTTCTAAACGCGTTACGTCAGCGACGTCAAACTTTCGGTACCTTATCATACATCAATTTGACACGTTCCCTGAAAATTTGAGCGAAATCCGTCGGAAAATTTTTGAGAAATTGACGATTTAGTGACGTCATGTTCGCCATTTTCGCCTCAAAAACGGCAAAATTTCTAACGCCGCTAACATCTTCATTTTTAAAGGAATCAAGACGTAACAAAAAAGGTTATGCGTGATTCCACTTTGTTTATCAAATGGCTATCTCGGTTTTTTGAAAATTTTGGATTTTGGCCCAAATTTTTTCAAAAAACTGACTTTTTTGGGAAAATAATTATGAAAATCCAAAATTTTGAGGGTATCGAAAAAACCGGAATATATGTCAGAGAAGTGGTCTATGTGCACCTACATACCAATTTTGAGTAGAATCGGTTTAAAAATGTGGGAGTTATTCAAAATTTTATGACGTCACGACACACAATTTTTTTGAAAAATGACATTTTTGGAAGTTCTAGACCTCGTACGGAAACAAAAATAGCACCATTCGATTCGCCGTGAAAAACTGCATCAGATAGACACCTTTTTAGGCCTTAAAAACCAACTTCAAAATTTGACCTCACTTGACCTGACCTTGACCTGACCTGGACCTGAAATTCATCCAGAGGTGGTCCATATCACTTATTGAGTGTGCCTATTGAATTCTATGAGTAAAATGACCCATAAAACATGTGTCGCACATGCCCTTTACTATATTTTGTTTTTGGTGACCTGACCTGACCTGACCTGACCTTGACCTTGACCTTTGAATGACATTGTATGCAACGAATATTGTCTTGGTAGTCTAAGTACACGTTTTGGGCAATCAGTCTCAGTCCATTCTTCGGCAACTACGGTGCAAGGCCGATACTGTAGAAACTTGCATTTTGTACCCTTGACCTGACCTTGACCTGACCTCTGACCTACTTAAGCAAAAAATTGGACTATTAAGAACCACCTTGTTGAGAGCTTTCGATTGCCGTTTTCCCCGTCTTTCTACGACCATCGGTTCGGAAGTTAGACAGGGGGCAGAATCTGCCCCCCCCCCCCCCCCAGCAGGGCGCGTATGGCTGAATAGCCCAGCGGGGCGCGGGTTAATATCCAGTGAACGCACCGTGAAGTATGTTTCCATTTCCAGATATTTACCTTTTCGCTGCCCGCTGCGATTGCTTAGCCACGGGCAAGGAGAGAGAGCATCAGTTATGGTCTGAAGACAACATGTGAGATGCGCTGACGGCTGTTGAGAGTGGCTAAATTCTGCAAAGCTTCTCGCTTTTACGACAGCCCAGGACAAACGTTTGTTTATTATCAGCGAAAGACGATTCATGAAGTTATGACCCTGCGTACGAGGAGCAAAAACGTCTTTTTTTAAATGCAATTTGCGAAAAATCCACTGACGGTAAAACGAACTAAGGAGGACCATAGCGAGTGCAATGAAATGGTGGTACTACAGGTGTAGACATGCTTCATCCTTTGCGTACCAGCGCAAAATGTTGGCTCTGGAGGAAGATTTGTATTTTTTCACGAAGTTACCTCTCCCTCCCCTACATTAAAGCATTAACGACAATTTTATTTGTAATTTTGCTCGTATAATGACTTTTCCGGCTGTTGGGTATCGCTCTTTCAATTCACCACCTTTGCGCCGTCTCTGATGTAGGATGTGGGATTGCTGTACTCTACCCGCTACAGAGTTCGGGACTACTGCGCTGTCCCGTGCTGCAGGGCTCGGGACTACTGCGCTGTCCCGTGCTGCAGGGTTCGGGACTACTGCGCTGTCCCGTGCTGCAGGGCTCGGGATGACTGTACCGTCCTGTGATGCAGGGTTCGGGATGACGGAGACCTCGCCGGTCGTCACGTTCGGGTCGCGCACCAAGCGCGGCGACTACCCAGGCACGTGCGGAGTGCTGGTGCACAACACCGAGGCCAAGATGATATCTGTGGAGGACGGCAGGGAGCTGGAGCAGGGCGAGATTGGCGAGATCTGCGTCCGCGGGCCGCAGGTGGGCAGCGGCACCGCCGCGCGCCCCCGGCCACCCGCCCCGGCCCTACCCGCACAACTGGCCACCGGTCCCTGCCGCTGCCACCTCCAGCACCGACGGTTATGACATCCAGCGCGCAGCAAACCTGATGACGTCTTTGACATTTCTTAGGTTTTCAATGCAAGGCTACGACCTCCAACCTTAGTTTTCGTTCATTGCTATTAATTTCTTTCCTATTGCTTGGGAAAAGTTCATTTTACATAGAGCAGTTCTGTTATTCGTATATTTTCTACCTGATCTCTGTAAGCAGAAAGGCTCAGCATGTGCTCGGGTCTCGTTGGGCCACTGTGTGCTCGGGTCTCGTTGGGCCCACTGTAAGCTCGGGTCTCGTTGGACCCCCTGTGTGCTCGGGTCTCGTTGGACCCCCTGTGTGCTCGGGTCTCGTTGGGCCACTGTGTGCTGTCTCGTTGGGCCCCTGTGTGCTCGGGTCTCGTTGGGCCACTGTGTGCTCGGGTCTCGTTGGGCCCCTGTGTGCTCGGGTCTCGATGGGCCCCTGTGTGCTCGGGTCTCGTTGGGCCACTGTGTGCTCGGGTCTCGTTGGGCCCCTGTGTGCTCGGGTCTCGTTGGGCCCCTGTGTGCTCGGGTCTCGTTGGGCCCCTGTGTGCTCGGGTTTGTTGGACCCACTGTAAGCTCGGGTCTCGCTGCGCTCGGGTCTCGTTGGGCCACAGTGTGCTCGGGTCTCGTTGGGCCCCTGTGTGCTCGGGTCTCGTTGGACCCCTGTGTGCTCGGGTCTCGTTGGACCCACTGTGTGCTCGGGTCTCGTTGGGCCACTGTGTGCTGTCTCGTTCAGGTAATGGCCGGTTACTACCGGAACCCTGAGGCGACGGCGGCGACCATCGACTCGGACGGCTGGCTGCACACCGGCGACGTCGGCTACTGCAACGACGACGGCTTCTTCTTCATCGTCGACCGCGTCAAGGAGCTCATCAAGTACAAGGGGTTCCAGGTCAGCCGCCAAGGGCGACACGGCCCAATGGTCGGGAATGTATCAGCATTGAATGTATCAGCATGCCCGATAGCTTCTAACTGGCTGACCACTTACGAGTACCTATAACTAAACTTCACACCAGACGATCTGACGCATTCTCAGGATTGGCATTCCGACCCGAAAATGAATCACTTTATACATTGGCTGGCATTACAGTCCGAAGTGACATTATTGGGGGTCCAGACCCCGGCGACCCACCCCCCTCCCTCCCCTCTCTTTTCCCCATGCTGGAAAGCCCTTGCGTTACGCAGTTGAATTTTGTAATAAATTGCAAATGAGAAGAAGAAAAACATTAATTAAAAGATAAACAAATAAGCAAGAAAAACGATGACTGTTGTTTCTTCATTCATAGCTTTTACGCATTTTCTCGAGACTTTCTCGTCCCCAATCGGCCTAAGCTGTGCTCCCGGGCCGCCGCCGCCGGTCCGCGCAGAGCCTTACACCGCCACCGTGGTCCGGCAGGTGGCTCCGGCCAGCCTGGAGGACCTGCTGCGCAAGCACGCGGGTGTCGCTGACGCTGCCGTGATCGGCGTGCCGGACGAGGAGGCCGGTGAGCTGCCGCGCGCCTACGTGGTCACCTCCGACCCGGCCATCACCGAGCAGCAGCTGGCCGACTTCGTCAACAGACGCGTCAACCCATTCAGCCGGCTCCGCGGCGGCGTCCGCATCGTGGACGCCATCCCCAAAAGCGCCACCGGCAAGACGCTGCGCCGCCAGCTGCGGCAGGCCGCCGAGCGGGAGCTGGCCGCGCAGCGCGGCGCTGCCGGCCCGCGGAGCGTGCCCTGAGGCGCCGCCGACCCGCAGAGCGTCCCCTGAGGAGGCGCCACCAGCCCGCGGAGCGTCCCCTGAGGAGGCGCCGCCGGCCCGCGGAGCGTCCCGAATGAGGTGGCGCCGCCGGCCCGCAGACCAGTGGGAACCTTGGGAACCGAGCAGTGTCGATTGAGGGAATAAGCACTCATGTTGTAACTGCTCTTGCATTTTTATTTTTGTTTTGACTTTAATTAAGTAATCGTGAAATGTAAAAAGGCAACCGAAGATGCCAAATTTGTACAAAGCCGATCAAAAGTATTTCAAAGCCTGGCATGTGCCAATGTGTTCAGGTGCGCTCTATGCAAGACAATTGATGATCACAAGTGCATCATTTAACGGGTGAAGGATAGCCGTAAAGTTTAGGTGACACTGCCCAATGTCCAGGCTACAGTTGTCCGATACCTACCAGGGTAATCAATGCCGCCAATGGCCGTCGGTATGCAACATGTTAGTTATGCATTTAAATGCTATAAGTATGCTAGGCAGTCTTGTTGTCAGATGTAGTGTGTTTCTTGCCTCTGCCGTGAGACAGCCCGCTGAGTGTCTCTTAGTGTCTCTGTGTGTCTCTGAGTGTCTCTGTGTGTCTCTGAGTGCGAATAGGGGCGCGACCGGGTGTCTCCGCCGTCTGCGAGACGCCGCGCCGCTCTGAGAGCCCTGTCAGTCTCTGTGTGTTCACCTGGTGTAGCTGTCAGTCTCCGTGTGTTCACCTGGTGTAGCTGTCAGTCTCCGTGTGTTCACCTGGACCTGGTGTAGCTGTCAGTCTCCGTGTGTTCACCTGGTGTAGCTGTCAGTCTCCGTGTGTTCACCTGGTGTAGCTGTCAGTCTCCGTGTGTTCACCTGGTGTAGCTGTCAGTCTCCGTGTGTTCACCTGGTGTAGCTGTCAGTCTCCGTGTGTTCACCTGGTGTAGCTGTCAGTCTCCGTGTGTTCACCTGGTGTAGCTGTCAGTCTCCGTGTGTTCACCTGGTGTAGCACTCGGCAGTGACCAAGCAGTGACAGCCAGGAGAAGCGGGCGCTCCCTTTATATTCTAATCACGCATTTTGCATCCTTTGTAAGTATGGCTTGTACCTAACCTGACAGAGACGATCTGACCGATTGCCGATGCGGCTGCCTACATGTCGCCGTAATAAAATCATGGATTATGCAATAGCAGGTGTCGTTTATAAGCGTCAGCTGAGCGGTCCTCATTGCACGCTGATTGCTGGGCAGGGCGGTGCTGATTGTTCAGGCGATCCCCCGGCATTAGCCGTTTTCCACGCCGGCACATTTGGCTCACATTTCGTGCGACTTGGTCAAATTATGTTCATAGCTAATTCTTTGGAGTTTTAACCTTAGGTTGCATTATGTGCTTAGTTGCCTGATTTATCAAATTATCAAACATTATTTCAGATAATACCATTGCAATAAATAGATAACCTAAAGATATGTCCGTTAAGTGCATAATCGATTGAGATTTGGTGTAGATTTGGTATACGGAAAAGCCCACAAGGAGAAAGACCGATGGACACAGGTAAACGAAATTACCACACAGTATCAGTGAAATGCTTTACAGTCATGGTTTTACACTGGATCCTTACTCAGGAGCGTTACATTGCATTCCCGGAACTTTTTTGTCACACCTCGTATAATTATTTACTGCTGGACACGATCCGGCCTAATACCTGCAGAATAGAACCGTTGGTAGCATTCGCATTTCGCTCCAGTAAAGGACCGTTGGCGTTATTTACTCTAGGCACCCACAGGCTGATTTAGTACTCCAGGATAGGACCTCGTGGCATTACGAGTATTTTACTCCAGGGCCTCGTTTCATAAAGCAAGTCCGTAACTTACGCCGGTTTTTGGGCTCGTATTAAAAGTGCATGTGAAGCGATAAATTTATTTCCCCTTCTCCCTTCTGTTCTTGCTTGCAAGATAAATAAATTAAAGGATTCAAACTAACGTCATCGCTTCACATGCACTTGCAATACAAGACAAAAACCGCCGTTGGTTACAAAATCACTTTATGAAACGAGGCCCAGGATAGGACCCTCGTGGCATTATTTCCTTCAGGATAGGACCCTCGTGGCATTATTTACTCCAGGATAGGACCCTCGTGGCATTATTTCCTCCAGGATAGGACCCTCGTGGCATTATTTACTCCAGTATAGGATCCTCGTGGCATTATTTACTCCAGGATAGGACCCTGGCGGCATCATTTACTCAGGGACACCGTCTGACTTGTTTAGTATGCCGACCTAGTTGGCCGACTGGCAGGAGCACGTGCCGGCGAACTCTCCGTATCTGATTAATTCCGGGCCACAGATGGGTCGTGTGCCGGCACATTGGGTCAACTCTGTCTGGAGGCCGGGCTGAGACCGCCATAGCGGAATCTCCAATGCGGAGCGCTGAGAGTAAAAAGAAACGATACAGTGTGTCCAACAATTGACCGAACACTGCTTAAAGGGACCCTCCCACCTTCAAAAAAGTTAATGAATTGGCATGAAAGAGATGTCGCTCGGTTCAGAAAGAGCGACAACGAATATGTACCAAATTTCATCGAAAAATATTCGCCGGTTTTCAAGATATTAGACTTTTACTTTTGTTTACTTTCTGGGATCTCCGCTGTTCCTAGCGACTTTATTTGAAAGTGCGGCATTTGTTGCGCGCAAAGCAGCATATAGGTACCACCGCGTGCTACCAAACGTTTTAATAAAAGATTTAAAAATCGTTAGATCTCCGCTGACGTCACAAATTCTAAGGGGGCATTCCAATGCGTTATTAGCCTCTTAGAATCCGAAAACTGCAAGTTTGAAATTCCATATCTCCGACTTTAACCCTCGCCCGCACATGCCATTTTCCCATCCTAGAACGCACATGGGGGGGGGGGGTACCACCCCCCCGCGCCATTTCGTTCCTGTTGGAGATAGAGCTTAGCGGTAAAGACCAAAAAGATTCTTTGGGAAGAGACGAATCCAATGATACCCAGTTTTACCTTCTCAGGTCATTCATTGACCTTCCAGGTCAGGTCAAACTAAAAAATGTTGCTGTTTTGGGTCACCGTTGGATATCAAGTGCGCTGCTTATCATAAACCAATGACGATGCTGTTTTCTGGTGCCAAGCCAGCTAGAACCTCTTTGTCACACTATCCGACCAGATTTTTGCAGCTGAGGTCATTTCAGGTCAAGTTAGGTCAAGGTTAATTATATGTATATTTGTATGTCTGCGTGTGTCTGTGTGTATAGTGTATACTGATGTGTGCACCGATTGTTTTTGTGTCCATATTACATGAAATCATGATCTGAGAAGCTGTTACCAAAAATGCAGTCAAAAAACTTCACAAAAAGTAAATTCAGCTTGCCTAAAACGCAATTATCTTGGATGACCTAGGTTGACCTTGACCCTGACCTTGACACCTGTACATCGTCGAACAACATGTTCCATGATAGGTGGGAGGTAAGACTGGCAAAAAAGGCCGAAATCAAGGTGTCAAAAGCTCACAAGGCCCATGGCAAACGCAACATGTTGAGAATTGGCCATTTGGGTCATGACATGACCTGAAAAACAAGGTCATATCTCCGAAACCAAAAATTACAGAAACTTGACATTTTCAGTGGACATCAAAAAAGGATAGAGGAGCAGCTATACGAAAAATCAGCCTTCTAGCTCTACAAATCTTGAGTGCAGAGCAGAAAGACTACCTGGGAAGGGGGGGGGGGTGGCAACCCCCCCATGTGCGGGCGAGGGTTAAGCATTTTTCGATGTTGTGAGTGCCCAAACCGGTATTTTCAGGCCATGGCCACCAATTTGGCTATCTCAGCTCAAAACTTATGTTAAGGTGGGATGGTCACTTTAACTGTTCGGCCAGTAAAACGCCTTTTGGGGCGACCAACAGAGCGAGCGAGAGGATGGGACTTGCACGTGCGAAATTGCAAGGGGGTACCTCCAACTAACTTGTGTACTGCACCCTACTAACCGGTCCCTAGCGATGTGCCAAATTTGAGCGCAATCGACCTACCCGTTCTCGAGATCTGGAATCGACCCCTGCACGTGCGCACGTGCAGCAGTACCTCCACTGTGGCACATGGATATGCATTTCCTAGTGGGTGCCTACGTACAGGTCTCGCGGATTTTAGCGGTAGGTTTTGCACTTAGAAAATGTAGTGTACTTCAGGCTATATCTTCGTAGTCTTAACCCTCGCCCCGTTGGGGGGGGGCCATTTTGGCCCCCCCCTGTGGTTTTTCCTGAATAGCAAGAAAACGGCGGCGCGCAGCGCCGCCAAATTTTCAGTACCTTCCCGGGCATCAATTTGACACCTTCACACCAAATTTCAAGTCTTAGGTCACCTTAGGTCAGGAGTTATTGAGGTCAAACTGAGGTCATGTTCGAGCAAAAATGGGCAAAAAACATGCAATCTTGAAACGCTCACCAAATCTACAGTTATCAAGCAATTTCAAAGTTCTTTATATGGTCTAGTAGACAAAAAGCGGCGCTACAAAACTGCTATCTCGGATTTTCAAAATTTTTGGTTTTTGACCAAAAAAAATTCAAAAAATTGATTTTTTTAGAAAAACTTTGAAAAAATCCAAAAATTTTCCGAATTTCGAAAAAACCGGAATATATGTGATAGTGCCAGCGCTCTTCTATATACATACCAAATTTCAGATTGATATCTCGTTTTTTGGCCAAGTTATAGCGAAAAAACTGTTCAAAAATGATGACGTCAAATTTTTGAACTCAATTTTTAGCAATTCTAGACCACGTACGGCAAAACAAAGACCACCATTGAACTCCCCGTGACGAGCTGCATCGATTCGATACCCATTTTATGCAAAAATATTAACTTTGAAATTTGACCTAATTTGACCTGACCTTGACCTGACCTTGACCTGACCTTGACCAAAACGTGATCTAAGCTGGCCCCAAAGGCTGCCTGACCCATATAATCGCATTTGTCATGTAAAATGGACCATAAAACATGTATCACACGACACTTTCATATTGTGACCCCCCCGTGACCTGACCTCTGTGACCTGACCTGGTATCAGTGACCTCAAATAGCAAAATATGTGTTTGAAGAACATTTCCCCATCGATGATTTTCAATGAAATGCATTTTACTCGATTTTACAACGCATTTCTTGAAGTGCCTGTAAACGGTGAAAATTGGACCTTTGACCTGACCTGTGACGTCATCGGTTTGACCTAGGTCAATAAAATTGGGTCACAAGGTAGTTCCCCGTTGGGGCTATCCAACGCCGTTTACCGCTTGTCGCTATGTTGCGTGGTTCTCGAGATCTTAGGGGGGGGGCCAAAATGGCCCCCCCCCCCAACCGGGCGCGTTGCTCGGCAGAGCCCAACGGGGCGCGGGTTAAGCTTTTAAGTGTTGAAGATCAAGATGCGATCAACTTGTTGGGTAACAAGCCGGCTATGATCGTGTAAAATGGCTTTATCGTAGATCGACTAGTTTCTGAGATATAAACGGAAATGTAAAAGTGCAAAACCTACTGCTTAACCCGCACCCGTTGGGGGGGGGCAAAGAGCCCCCTGTGGTTTTTCGGAGAAAACTCAGAAACGGCTGCGAATTTCGACTTTGAACTTTCAGTAGGGGAGACCCGGGAGGTATGGGCCCCCTGGAGGTATGGGCCATCGCAGTTTTGAAGAAGTGTTGCGTATTTTTACACATCTGCCGGCGTGAACTGGTAGCAGCCATTCCGTTATACAACCCACGTGATTTTCAAAATCTTCCTCAGCCTTCTTTGGCAATGAGCGGTGATAAAGCGTGTTTGCCCCCTTCGAGTAAAATACGGTACATGCAGAAAATTCGTGATAAATTTAAACCAGGCTCGTTTTATGATGTCAGACCATCGCTAACATAAAGTTTAAACCATGGAAATTATGACTGGATAGCCAATTTGAGGCTATCTTGCAAGATTATGAGCTGTGATGCTACGCACATTCTGGCGTCCTAACCGGGAGGTTCGGGCCACCCACCCGGCGTTGATCCTAAATAAATAAAAAGATGCTTTCTGTTCAAAATTCTAAAAATTGCCAAAAGTTACCAAAAACACTTGAATATATTTCGGAGGCGTTCCTTCATCGGTTCAAGTGATAAACATTTATAGCGCCACATTTGCCGTTAACATATCTGATCCATGTTTTTTTAAATATA